TTTTGTGTTGATTTTCTATCTCATGTATGTTAAAAAGTGTTGTGATGAACATTTTCTAAAGTTTTAATGATTTTTCATAAATATTGGTTCATCATAATGAACTTTGGTCAAAATTGGTTTTAATGCTTTTTTTTTACAAATTTTAATTTTTGACCTTAATTTAAATGATTATGCATGTGATTCACTGCAAATGATATCTATCTAACAATTGATATCAATTTTTCAAATGCATAACATTTTTTGATAGTTTTATGCACATGCACTTAAATACAACAATTGATATTGCATAAAGTTTATTATACTTGGATATATTGAATTTCATGTGCTACTAACATGTTTGTTCATCTTTGTTGAAATTTAATGTCTTTTAAGTGTCAAGCTTTTAAAGTCAATTTTTTTTGAATGCATTTGTTGAGGGGGAACTTTTCATTTTTCAAATGATTTTAATGTTAAAATTTCTACTTACTCTCAATTGTTATTTTGTACCTTAAAGTTTGAATAATTTTTTATATAACAAAAAGGGGAAGAAGTATGTGTTTGAAAAATTCAATTTCAAGAATAAAAAAAAGGGAGCCTTAATATTTTCCAAATATTGCTCTTTTTCATTAAATGTTTTATTAAGTGGAGCTTATGCCAAAAAAACTATTTTTCAAAGGTTTTGTTATATCAAAAAAGGGGAGATTGTAAAACTTATATTTTGATATAACAAATAAGGAGAAAATGTTTGTTAGACTAAATTAAATTTATTCAAAGTTTTCAAAAATAATTCAAAGTCTAACTAAATTTGAAAGATATGTGTTCAATGAAAGATATGTGTTCAAAACTTTAAAATTATCAAAGTCTTTTAAGCTCAAATTATATTAAAAATATATTTCAAAACTTTAGAATGTTTTTCAAAGTCTTGTATTTCTCAAAATGTCAAAAACTATCTTTTTAAACAAGCTTTGACCAGAAGTTTCGAAACTTTCCAAGACAGTAGTCCAAAAAGTTTCGATACTTTTCAAGAGTTTTGAAACTATCTCAAGAGTTTCGAAACTTTCCCTAAAGTTTTGATACTTTGGCTCCAACGGTCATATGTTTCCAACGGCTCTTTTGAAGAGTTACGAAACTGTGTGCATAAAGTCTTCCAACGGCTCGAAGCCTTCCAAATGGCTAGAAACTCATTCCAACATATAAAAACAAGTTCATGACACTTTAAGAAGGTTACACAACACCTATCCAAGCAATCAAACAAAAGAGAAAAGCTTTTTATTCTTAATTTCTCTTTCTCTTGTAAATATTTGTGTTTTTGTGAGCTTTAATTTATAAACACCTTTCTTTTTAGAGGTTTTATTATTTAAAATTCTTTTCCTTTGTAAAGGGGTTTGATTCTAGCTAAGCCTTTAAAAAATTAGGGATTTTGTAAAGGTAATCTCTTTATCCTTGAAAAAGAAAGAATAAATTAGTGGATTTGTTGGAAATCTAAAGTAAGGAGCTTAGGTAGTGGATGTAGACTTCATTGAGGGAGTTGAACCACTATAAATCATTGTGCAAATTTTCTTATTTTCATACTCCTTATTCCCTAAACTTCAAAAGGCCAATTCACCCCCTCTTGGCATATTTCGATTGATCGAACGAGCTTCATCGAACCCAATAAAATCCAGTGACTTACAAACTTGTGAACTGAGGAAAAGGAAAAAAATATTCAGATAATATGATATGCTTTTACATGCAAGTGCAACAAAGCTTTATGGTGGATGTAAATGATTTCTCTTGATTTGCACTAGGATGCCCCATTACCCATTGAATGTTCATACCCCTGAATCGATTAGATTTTGGACCTTGTACTTCAGTGCCCCATAGTTCTCAATTGTGAGCCCCAAGTTTCCTATGTGGCAGCTGCATACGGCATCAACATCATAGCTCTCAGGATATGGCAGCTCTTTTGGCTCAGATTGGACTGGAGTCACAATGTTCCTTTCAACCAGGGTTAGGAGTATTTCCTCATATGTCATCAGAATTGGGTCAATATGGGTATTTTCTCTGACCATATTGTGAGGTTTGGCCCCATAATTAGTTGAATATGATCGCACCATATTGATCTCAAATCCTATCTCAGTGTTAGTAACATTAGTGCTCTCTAGTATGTCATTCTTAATAACTCTTTCAATCATCTTTCCACACATGATGATGTTATATAATTTCTTTGTGGTAAACCCTAGCATATGATTGATAAATGGAGATTTCAGTGTGTCGATGAACATGGTGATGAACTCCATTTCGGTTATTGGTGGGTATACTTGGGAAGCAATGTCCATCTATCGATATGCATATTACCGAAGGCTCTCGTTATGCCTCATCTACATGTTTTTCAACGTTTTTTAGTCAAGGGCCGTTTCATTCATTTGCTTGTATTGACCCAGAAAAACATGACCGAAATCCTTACATGAGTGGATTTGAGCGTGGCTCAACAATTATACCACTTAGAAACTGGTCCTATCAGTCTATCTTGAAAGCAGTGAATCAACATTTGATCATTATTGGTATATCTAGTCATCATTCAAATAAACATCATGAGATGTACGATAGGCAACTGGTTCCATTATACTTTTTAAAATTAGACATTTTGAATTTGGGCGGGAGTACTAGGTTGGGAACCAAGGCTAACTCACATGCATCCACTTCATCTTGTGAGCTCTGTCCTTTTATTCCTTGGAAATAATCTTTGCACCAATCCTTCAGATTATCAAGGATTTCAGTCTTAACTTTCTTTATTTGATCAGAATCAAACATGTTATGATCGGTGGGGCTACAGTGAGGATTTATCATGACTGCTTGAGTCTTAGGGGCAGATAAACTTGCTTGGTGGCTTTGAAGCCCCCTGGTGAAATCATTAGCTATGGAGCAGCATGTGCCGTCACACATCCACCAGTTTCCACATTCGGGTAAATATTCTCCTTGCCTTTTTCCTTATTGAGCCTAACCAATTTCTCAATAATCTAGTCAACCATGTTGGCCTGATTTTGCAAAATATAATTCATAACGATCTTTTGTGATTGTTCTAATTTGGATTCCCAATCTATTTGCATTTTCTACAAACTCTCTTACAATTTTTTCTTTAATTTCTCAAACTTTACTTCCATCTTTAGTACTTCGTCACGTGATTAAGATCACTGCCATGGAATCCTCCATGAATTAAACCCATATTTTCATGACTCATGCATGCGAAAATGCTTAAATAAATGCAATACGGATGCAAAATACAAAGATGTAAATGCGAATGCAATGCAAAAAGGTATTGATCCCAAAGATGAATATCATAGAATAAGTTCCATCAATTAAAAGTTTTCATTATTCAAGATAATTCATTTTCACATACATGTTTTTGCTTGTATAGTTGGTCTAAAGTAGGTCGTTCGGATTAAGTGATTACCTCTCAAGTCTTTGGATGTCATTTTATTAGTCTACTCTGGTGCGCAATCTTCATACGAGCTTCCTTCTTATTCTTTGAGCTTGAATTAGCCAACAGTGCATGTCTGTGTATGCGACTACATTGATAAACATTTTCTCTATTTATGAAAATTTTCCAATTAGAGAGTCATCTATGGATCAACACCTTCATGTTATGTTATGATGATGCAATACAAAATAGGTGAAAATGAAAAATGAAATGAGAAAAAATGAATTAGTACAAGTAAAATAATCGATAAAAAGTGATATTTAGAGATAAATATTACATCTACTCAATAATGGTATCTACCCAAACATGCTTTTATCAAATGCAATCCTACCCGAACATGCTTTCTACCCGACATAATTTGCTTTAGGAAATTAGGCCTAACAGTATGGTGTCTAGTTCACATGCTTTCATTCGTAAAGAAATTTATTTTATGAATATAAAGTAAAGTGCAGAGGTTTGAAATCATTCCTCCCTTGTGTATGCTTATAGACTTACATACGGAAAGAGGTTCAATATGGCTCTATCTAACCTAGGGTGAGCATTCTATTACTCCTTTACATAAGCATGATGTATAAAATATTGATTAATAATAATATAAATATTTATTAACAATGGAAAATCTCGTCTGCTACGACTAAAAACAATCATGCCAATAAAGTTCTTTTTTTTCAGGATTGAATTGTTCATAAATGTATCAAACATTCATTCACATCAAGTTGATAATAAATATAAAATCTCTATATTTTTTGCATCATTAAGTCTATTTTCTATATTCAAAATTGGTGAACTTTTTTAATAATATATTTTTTAAGATTTTAAATATTTATTTTTAAAAAATTAAAAGGAATTATTGTATGTGATACTTTTTATGGGTTAATTTATCACTCAACTATTTTCTAACTCCTATTTTGATCACTAAAGTTTAAATTTTTTTAATTTAACTACTCATCTTTCAAACTGCTCATATTTTAATCACTCTGATTTATTTTATTAATAAATTTTGTGACATGACATATTTTATTATTTTATAAATATATAATTAAAATAAAAAAATAAATTTGAAAGTTAGAGTGATTAAATTAGAAGTAATTTGAAAGTTAAGTAATTAAATTAAAAAAAATTAAACTAAAGTGGCCAAAATAAGAATAATAAGATAGTTGAGTGATGAACAATGTAATTTACTGATAAAAAGTGTTAAGTTCCGTTAAGTTTATAACGACGAGATGCCAAAACGAAATAAAAAGTTAACATTAAATATGATTTTGAAAAAAAAAATGAAAGTTAATATATCAAAATGAGACAAAAGTGATAATTTAAGTAATAAGTATGTAGTTTACTCAAAAATAAAAAAATACCACGAAAATAGTTTTGTTAATTTTTTAAATGTTATGACCAAAACGAAATTAAAACTGAACGTTAGGTAAAATTTTGAAAAAAATAATTATACGATTAAAATAAAATAAAAGTGATAATCTAGGAATTAAATGTATAGTTTACCCTTTAACCTTATTATGTAGCATCCATATTGTATTCCATATCATATTACATATCATATTATATAGTATAAGCCTCCAATATTCAAGCAATTGCATTGAAAATAAACAACAGGTTGAAGCATGGAATAGACTATAGAGCAAGCAAAATGGTGGTTTAAACCTAACAAACAGCAAGACCATAGCTGAATAGCTCCCTATTTCTTCATTTTCTCTTTCTTTTTTCTGCAATTATTCCTTTTTTTTTAGGGTTTGGGTTTTGTCAATTTCAGTCCAAAATCCAAAACCCACCCAGAATTATCAATCTCCGCACTCAATATCCACCCCTTTTTGGCTGTAAGTGAAGGGAACTGAGAGATAGAGAGAAACAAGCGAAATTTCGCCATGGATTCTCAAGTTATGGTGGCGCTTGCGCTCTCTCTTGTTGGTGGATTCAGTACTTCTCTGGGTCAGTTAATAGTCTTCTTCATCATCTATTCCCCTATTTTTATGTTTTTGATCAGTAAAACCTTAATTGTTTCGGTTTTATGTATGTGGTTCTTGTACTTTGACTGTGCTTTTTTTTTCCCTACTTGTTTTTGGGTAAATTTCTTCTATGTGAGATAGCATATTTTCTTCATTTTTTGTAGTATATTCATCACAGCTAGAGTTATCTAATGCTTGTTTCTTGGATTTTATCTATATAAATGTGATGGACTTGTGCTAAAGTTCTTCGAAATCATAATATGAATTGCAATCGTTGGCAATTAGTAAATACAATTTAAGTTGTAAACCTGGCTATTGTAGTTGTATTGTTTAATAAAAAAAAAGTATTCTGAGATGAATTTCCAATTGGTAAATCAAACAAGTTAGAACATGCTTTTATTTTATGTTACTCGGAAAAAATGAAGCCGAAGTAACATAGCTTTTTATGTTATATTTTGATAGAGATTTCGAGCATGACAGTTACTGGTCTTGGTGTTGTAGGATGATAGGGAATGTTACAGACTATAAACCCTGTTTATTACAGGAAACCCTTTCTGTTTTGTGTTAAATGGAGAAAGGAAATAGAAAATTGATTATGGTTATATGTGACATTAGCCTCTAGCCTTTGTGGTTAGTTGCCTGTTCAGATTAGAAGCCTCTGATATCTTATAGAAAACGAGGTGACTTGTTGTGCTCACCTTCTATTTTCGGTTAGAAAGTGTAGGAGTGATTTTTGCTTCAGAGTTCATATAGTTGTGCAAAAAGCACACCCTGGCAACCCTGTTGTCACTATCAGTTTCACTAATGGCTTCAATTTTATCAATGAAGGTAGTCCTAAGTTGCTTATTGTTGGGTACTAGGTCTCAAGTTTGTTTAGTCTACAATATAAAGATGTACTGAAACGTTTTGCAGATAAATTTAAAACTTAAAACTCAAAACGCTATATTATATCATAAAATGTATAACATCATTTTCCCCCCATTGTTTTCTTTATTTCATTACTTGTTTGTTCATTTCCATTCAATTTACAGTATGCAACTAGTTCAGTAAAAGTTTTTGCAATTTATTCTAACTGCTTGTCTTCCATTTTGGAACAGGTGCTCTTTTCGTAATTCTTAATCAATCTCCCAATTTGAAAATGCTTGGGCTTTTACAGGTAATGCTACAAGTTCTTAATAATAAAAAGCTGTCAAATTTATGTATGTTTAATTAGAGGATGCTAGGCAACTTTTTAAAGAAATGGATAGAATATATACCCAGGGACGGATGCAGGATTTTATATTAGGAGGCGAACTTATAAAATTTTATAGGGGAGTTGACTTGTGAAATTTCAAAATCTAAAATATAAGAGAATTTGAAATTTTCAGGGGACGACTACCTCTACCCCCCAGTCCATCCCTATATATGCTGATCTCATCTAATGCCCTGGTGTCTCCATGCAGGGTTTTGCTGCAGGTCTAATGTTAAGCATATCATTCCTTGATTTAGCTCATAATGCTATGAACTCTATCGGGTTCTTGAAAGGCAATCTCTGGGTTAGCTATATCTTATCAGTATCATTCTAATTGTCATGCACGACTTTTCTAGTTCATGGTTCATTTCTGTTGTCTTGGTATCTAATATTTCTTTCTGCAACAATGCAGTTTTTTGCCGGTGTTATCTTCTTTGCTGTGGTTACCAATTTCATACCCGAGCCTACTCTACCCCACAGTTCTGAGGTGAAAGGAAAAAAGGTTTGGACGATTTTTACGTGTTATATTACTGAATGATTGTTAAAAAATTTTTAATGTTACGCATCTTTATTTAAACAAAAAAATACAGAAATATTCGTTGACTGTTTGATAATGTATTGGAGAGCAGAAAAGTGGTGATAAAGGAGGCAAAGATATGATGAAAAAGCATCGACGCCAGGTTTTTTTTAGTGGAATTATTACAGCAATAGGCATAAGCTTGCACAATTTTCCGGAGGGGATGGCAGTTTTCCTTGGATCCATGAAGGTAGGTAGTCCCAACCAGTGTTATCATGAAAACAATCATTGTTTTCGAATAGTTGTTAGCGATGATTTTTTTCATGATAATTCACCATTATTATTTGATGATTTTTTTTCAACGATGCTAGATTATTGTTGTGCCGAAGATGATGCTTCAACTATTTTTTATTTTAGATATCATTTATTGCAATTAAGAACAACTATTTCTTCACTTTCTCTTTGGGAGTGGGATCAGTTCTTAAGCCTATAAATCCTTGGAACTTAAATTTCTTACTGAGAGTCCCCAAAATGTTTTATATGTATGCTAATGAATCTCTTTTTCTTGCCTAATGTTTGTCATATAGGGCCTTCGTGTTGGTCTAAATTTGGCTTTGGCCATTGCTTTGCACAATATCCCGGAGGTATCTTTTGCTTTAATCCAGTAATTTTGAAGCTAGCCTTGAAAGCAACTCAGTTACGTGTTCGGTCCCCGGTTTAACTGGTTCAGAAAATTTTCTTTATATTCATTTTATAGGGTGTTGCTGTCGCTCTTCCGGTTTACTTTGCTACGCAAAGGTGAGAATTTATTGAGGCACTGGTCCATTCGGTTTCTTGAAATACAGGGTCCATCGGACAATCACATGGTTTGGGCGCTAAGCTTTGCGAGATTGTCGGATGAGCTATTCGTTATGGTCTTTCTGTTTTTAACTACGCAAATGAACTAGAACTTATTGGTATGATGGAAGTGTTAACTACTTTATTTGAATTATTTGTCAGCAAGTGGCAAGCTTTCAAATTGGCAACGCTATCTGGTTTTGCAGAGCCACTCGGTGTCGTAATTGTTGGTAAGTATATTCTAGTGGAAACATAAACGTTCTATATAAGCTACAATAATCCGAATGTGCCGGGAAAGTTTTGATACTGTCGTAGTTCATGGAGAATTTAGACCTTATTTGCTTTCTATTGATGTCAGATTATCTGACCTTGTTGATTTGTCTTTTTATTGTACAACAGCTTACCTGTTCCCGAGCAGCTTAAGTCCCGAAATTCTCGAGGGCTTGTTAGGATCAGGTTTGTAGCACCATCGGTTGCTTGTATTGGATTCGATTCCAGAAAAGGAATCTAGTTTTCCATGCTCTCTGTTATCATCTATTGAATATCTCTTGCACTGAATTCATGTTAAAATTTCAGTTGGTGGGGTGATGGCCTTCCTAACATTACATGAAATGCTTCCATTGGCATTCGATTACGCGGGGCAGAAGCAAGCAGTCAAGGCTGTTTTCTTCGGAATGGCTTTCATGTCTGCAAGGTAATAAACTTTATGGCAAAACCGTTTTCCGTTTCTATAAACATGCAATTCGGTTCCTGTTATCATATCGAATGTTTAATGATGATGCACAAAGCGTATCCTTAAACTCATGTCGGAAAAGCCTTTTAACTAATATGGGGGACGACAACCATCTAGTTTCGAACTTTAATGTATCTGTTCTATGGTTTTTTCGTGCAGCCTATATTTTCTGGAACTAAGCTTACCTAAGGAGATAAGCTTGTAGCCTCTTTCCATGAACCTATCAACAAGAAAGTGTTGTAAAATTCCTAAAGCGAGACGTCTTATTTTGCATATGTATATCAATTGCTTTATCCAATCTTTCGGCCTTATTCCGAAAGATCTTGAGCAAAAGGATGAACACCCCCAATTTGCAATGTACATAATATCTGATTTTTACTGAACCTTGCATCTCTAACCTGCATATTTATCCATGTTTTGCTTCAATGTTTTATTAGATGTCTGTAGATCGGATTATTTATCATTCCGGTAGTCGAGGCTGGCAATGACCAGTAAACTAGATAGGTTGTAATGTGAGGTGGTTGGTATCGTACTTGTCGAAACATTGGGCATGGTGCTTTAAAGTCGTTAAGTAGGGATGACAATGGATCGAGACGAGAACGCTGCTCATCATTGGCATGAGTTACCATCTCTCGTGTTTAGAGTTTTATCTTGGATCTTAGAATTTGACATATACTATAATATTTTTAATAATTTTAACATTAATTGGACACTTGAATATGGAATAATAATATAAGGGTATCCTAAACATTTTAAAGATTTATGTATGTAAACTAATTTTAACATAATTTTACTTTTTGCCCTTAAAATTTGTCAAATTTTCAGTGTTTCCTTTAGGATTTCCTTCGATTCAATTTCACCCTTATTGGCTATTTTTTAAAAAAACAATCAAGATGTAAAATCTGTAATTAAAATTGAAAAAATAAAATAAAATTTAAGATGTAGAAAAAATATTATAGCTCATCAAAGAATTGATAATGAAAAATGATTTTTCCTTTTAATGGGCTTTTTTTTAATTGAAATGTCACATTGATGAAAATGTAACTTTGATATTAATACATGTTTCAAATTAATTTTGAGATTGGTATTTTCTTACACCGCACATGATAAACGTGTCTTAACGTGTTTCGTAGATCGCGTCTTATTTCTTTATACGAATATCTTTAATATGTATTACACGTATTTACATTTTAAGAGATCCATGCACTTTAAAAAAAAAATCAATAGGACCCTCATATTATTTTTCTCTCTCAATGTGGTATTTCACCCCATAAAATAAATTTAATGTGATCATTTGATCAACATTTTTCGTTGTCGATCGTTACGGTACTGACATAACAGTTTACGGTGGTTGATAAAATAGTAGATGTGCTAAAGTGGTAACTCAAACATGAAAAATAGACTATCATGTTAGCATTGTGGATCGCCATGTCAACATCATGAACTGTCACGTCAGCATCATAACAGTTAATGACGAAAAACGTTGGTCAAATAATCATACTGAATTTATTTTTTAGGTTTGAGGGTTACATTAAAAAAAATACGTAGGCCACGTTGATTTTATTTAAATATAAGGACCTCATGCATTTCTATCAAATTTATATACTTTTTTATATTTTGACTCATTTTTTCTCATTTACCATCGAATACCAATTTACGTAATAAAAAATCATTTCTCTTCCACTTTTTTTCCTTATATCAAACAAGCCATAAATTGATTTTGCTTTCACATTTCCTTTCTCATCATCTTTCTTTTTAGTTTATATTATCAAGCAAAACTCAAAAGATAAAAGTAAGTGTCAAATGATAGTTTGACTTAGAAATTTCTAGAATTAAGACGAATGGGATAATATTAGGGATGGTTATGAATTAGGTTAGGTCTGGTTTTTGGTACAATAATTAGGGGTGTGTAAATTCGGGTATCCGAAATTTTTGGGTCGGTGATTTCTCGGACCGTGTTCCGACCCGGATGTTACGGGTAATCGGTACCCATTTTTTTATTTTTCACTTTCAAATTATTAATTTAAAAAAATATATACAAATTTAAATGTTCGAAACTTCAAATTACATACTCTAATATCCGAACATAAATTTTAAAAGTTCAAAATACAAAATATAATAATTCATAATATAAATAATTCATTATATATATATATATATATATATATATATATATATATATATATAATAATAAAAATAAAAAACTAACCGGATACTCGGGTAACCGGATATCTGGAAAAACTAGATTTTGTGATCCGGACTCGATCAAGAAAATATCGACGATTCGGGTCAACTAGATCGGGTAATTTTGCCACCCCTAACAACAATCCGCTCTGAGTATTATATTTTTAATATATTATTCCATTCCACTTGAGTTTAGAAAAATCTATAAATTTGATTTTTGGATAAAATTTTACATCTGACCCAATCTAATACAAGTATTCATATATATATATACATAAATCTCTTATTTTGTTCGGAAAAATATGAACAAATTATTTTTTTTAATATATAAGAGATAATTATATTATTATCACATTAAATTGAATAGATATTTTTAATCCTAAATATTAATCATACGTGACTAAAATCTAAATATTTAAAAAAAACTTTAACATTATAAAATGAAATTGAATCAAAATCCTTTAAATATGATTTCAAGTAGGATTCTAAAATAAAATTTGACTCGACTCAAAAAAATTACAAACATAAAAATTTTAAACTCAACTCAAATTTAAAATTATTAATTGACGCGTTAACCAAATTAATCTCGAATAACTTTGCATTACTGGCCCAGTCAGAAGCCAATCCCAATATCCTAGATAAATATCCCTTTGCCTTTAATTACAAAGGCATTTTCCTTTTTATTCTTTTCAATTTCAACTCTGACGTGGAGGGAAGTGGGGCCCACCCAACCACAAAATCCCCCGAATCCAATTCGTATGTATCAATGTTTCCGAACTTCAAAAAGTCGGCTGTCGGTCTGCGCCTCCTCTCTGTAAGTTCACTTCATCTTCTCAATTTTCAATTTTGCATATTTTCCTTTTGAATTTTCCCCTCCAAAATTACCCTAAACCCTTAATCTTCTTCAATAATACTTCTTCGTCTTTGAATTCTCACTCTCATCAAAACTAAGTCCCCTCGAAATTTTCTGGGTCGTTTCGGTTCCTTGTTTCTTCACGAAACAGGAGGTTAAAATTCCCCAAATTTTATCTTTTCTTCTCGAAATTTCCCCATGGCTGGCTTCGTAGAAGAGAGCGTACAATGATTGGGTTATTGGTGTTCCGTTTCAATTGTATGGAGTTTGCGAAATGCCCGAGCTTCGAAGAGGAGTCTGTAGATGCCGCGCCGCGTTAGCCCAGCGGCAAGAGCCAAAGCGGACGACGCGGAGGAATCCGGGTCGGAAACGTGCAGCCGAGGTAGGTAGGCCGAGGACTAAGTTGGCGGCGAAAAGGCTGAAGGAGGAGGATCGGTTTCAGGTGGTGGTAGCTGCGACCGGGGGAGAGGAGGAGGTGATTTTGATCTATGAGAGAGAGGAGTTGGTAAAAGTTGATAAAGGCAAGGAAGCCGGGATGGGGGACGATAGCGGTGGGTTGAGTGCTAACAAGGCTGCTGGACAAGAAGAGGGGAGTACTGCTCCTTTTCCAGAGGGGGCATGCTTGGCTTGTCCTTTATTTGTTTTATGTTTTCTGAACTGCGCTTGAATGCATTTAGTCCTGTAAATGAATTGAACGTTCAGTGAACCGTTCATGAATCGTGCGGCGAGAAGTTCGTTTATGTGCGTTTATTTATTAAATGAACGAACATGAATAAGATTTTGTGTTTTTTTAATTAAATGAACGAATCTGAACATAGATCTCGTCCTTTTATTTATGTTCGTGTACGTTTGGTTATGTTCGTTCTGTTATGTTCGTTTATGTTCGTTCGGTTATGTTTGTTTATGTTCATTCATTTATGTTTAACTCAATCTTCTTAAATCAATTTAGGTGACCAATTTGTAAGTATTTTAAAAATATTAATTAATTTGATATTCTGATGACCAACTATATAATTAATCTAATTTTATTTAGAAAATCCAACAATATTAACATGGTTTAGTTCATTTTGAACGATCCATAAGTTGCATACACAGCACCGTCAACATCCACTATGCCGGAACCCTATGTGACTGCGCCACCAGCTGGTTATCCGATGAGCAAAGAGGAGTCCCAGAAACCGGTTGCTTTCGAAACCAAGTCTAAAGGTGATGGATTCTGGAATGGATGTTAAGTATTAAGTACCGTTTCTTCTACTCAAATAATCTTCTTTTCTTTCATTTATAATGGAGTATTCGAATTTACAAGTAAATAGTGATCAACCAGTAACTCAAGTCAGCTTACTTTGAACTCAAGAACCCAATAATGGTAAGGCCTTATTCCATAGGTTGAGAAGTTCTTTAACGCGTTTCATCAAACAAATTTTGTGCGCCATCCGGATATGAAAGTTTAGCCAACCTACTTCTCTCATTTCCCAATTTTCAACTTCTACATAACACGAAGCTAAGGACATGTTTGTTTGATCCCCAATGATTAAGGTCGCCAATCACATAAAACACAATTTGTGTTCATATCGACTGTTGTTGAATGAGATAGGAAGAAAGAAAGTGGAGGAACATTATGCAATCATACATCAGAAGCAAATAAGCAGCTCGGGGTTGGTAACTTATATAAAAGAAGATGGGGATAATAGGTTTAAGCATCTTTGCACTTGGGGCAATGTCGAGCTTGAATCGAGCTTATAATTGAGCTTGAATCGAGCTCAGAATCGAGCTTCAATCGAGCTCAAGTCTCGAGTTTTAATCGAGCTCTTAATTATTTTTTGAGTTAGAGCATTTTCGAGTTTGAGTCGAGTTTCAATATTATATTTCGAGTTCGAGTCGAGCTTGATAATTTTAAGCTCGCGAGTTTTCGAGTCGAGCCGAGCTGACTTTAAAAGTTTTCGAGTTCGAGTCGAGCTCAGCAATACTCGAGCTCGACTTGACTCGTTTACACCCCTAGGTAGGGTCTCTAACGTTTATGTTCGTTTATGTTCGTGTTCATTTATGTTCGTGTTCGTTTATGTTCGTTCGTGTTTATGTTCGTTCGCGTTTATGTTCGTTTATTTATTAAATGAACGAACATGAACAAGTTATATTCCTTAATAAACGAACATGAACAAAAAAAAAATTGTTCGTTTATGTTCGTGTTCGTTTATGTTCCTTTATTTTTTAAATAAACGAACATGAACATACCTCTGTTCGTGTGCGTTCGGTTCGTTTACAGGCCTAAATGCATTGTGCCTCGTTGCTACTTTCTTGTTGATGATTGTTCTTCTTATGGTTCCAAACCACTATATTTTCGAAGTAACAGTCTTTTTTCTTTTTTACTCGGTATGTATACATTTTATATGTATTGTATATTTTCTGTCTGGTGAAAGTGTTGAAAGCCAATTACTTCAAGGTTTCTTGTCTACCCAACATTGTGTTCGTTAGAAAGGAAGGAAAATAAGGGAAAGGGAAAGGGAAATAAATTATTTTTTACTGCTTCATTTTGGTACAATAGATGGAAAGCGGACAGATGGGAAAGAATTGAGTGAACTTGTTAATGATGGTGATTAATTATAGTTTAATGAATGCCATCCTCCCACTTGTGGAAGGGTGGAAGTTTGAGGGAATGAGCGACGGTGAAGTTAGAAAAACCTTCTCCTTCTACTCTCTTTTTGGTAAATTTTGTTTCGAACGTTGTGATATAATTTTTTAGTTAGTTTGGATTATAGAATTTATTTTCCTTCTTAATTTCACAAGGTTCAAGTTGGTGGATCTCCTATGTACAAAATAGAAAGAAAACTTGGTAAAGGTGAATTTGGACAGGTGTTTGTTGGACGACATGTTAGTGGTGGAAACGAGCGTTCAACTGGATCCACAGCCATGGAGGTAAACCATCTTCAACTATCTTAAGCCTATAGAAGGTTTGATATGGTCCTAATTCTTTCTATTTATATTAGTTATGTTACTGTTTTTGCGTTCCTTTAGGTAGCTCTGAAATTCGAGCATAGAAACAGCAAAGGATGTAATTATGGTCCTCCATATGAATGGCAAGTTTACAAGTAGGTGGCTCTATTACGTTCCTGGTTTTTACTTTTGAACATTTTTAAATCACGACTGTATCTGACATAGTATGTTGAGTTTGTGGTGGACAGTGCTCTTGGTGGTAGTCATGGAGTTCCCAGAGTACATTACAAAGGAAAGCAAGGAGACTATTATGTGATGGTATGATCTTGAGCTTGTCTTGTATTTGTGTATCTATCCCAAATCCATGCTCGACTTCTACTTCTGTTTTCAGGTTATGGACATATTAGGGCCCAGCTTATGGGATGTTTGGAATTCTTCAGGGCAAGCATGAGTGACTTGTCTTATTTACCTTGTTAACTCTCCCCCATCCCTGACCTTGCCTCATTTTTCTTTGTCATTTACTTATTCAGAACTGTCAGGTAACAGAAGTTGAAGCACTTAATATAATTCCAAAATTACTTCAACTTTCTTATTTACATTTTTGGCTTTGTCCATCAGATACTGCTCAAAGAAACAAAAATACTCCCTTAACATTTACCATTTTATCTTTCCACTAGAAACATAAATACTCCCTTAACGCTTACCATTTTAGGTTTCCAGTAGAAATTGTATACAAGCTTTCTTCCCAATATTATCATGTTTTATGGAATCTTTGCCACCTCGTAATCCTTTATATAAATGTTGTGACTGATGGATTATTGGATGGGTTAAGCCACTGATCTTGTATTGAAAATTTTTGTTCTTAATTTCACATGCAGGATGTCGGCAGAAATGATAGCCTGTATAGCAGTTGAGTCCCTATCAATACTAGAGAAGATTCACTCCAAAGGGTTGGTGATTTTAATTATTTTTAGTATGAATATCAGTTTTCATGCAAGCTCTACAAATTAATGATATTAGTTTGCAATCTTTTTTTAATGTTGATCCTATGTGATACCAGATATGTGCATGGGGATGTTAAGCCCGAGAACTTTCTCCTGGGTCAACCAGCTACATCACAAGAGAAGAAATTGTTTCTTGTCGACCTTGGACTAGGTGAGTAAATTTCATTTTATCCCTACAGCGTCTCTTTTAACTTGGATTTTAGATACTTTTCTAATGTTTTGTCTACACCATGACATCGCAGCGACAAAGTGGAGAGAAAGCAGCAGCGGGCTCCATGTTGATTATGATCAACGTCCCGATATGTTTAGGTGTGTATACTTTTTTATCTAGTTGAGGACTTGTTCATAATCAACTCTTTTTGCTGATATATTCTGTTCTCTAATGTTGGTATTCACCAGAGGAACTGTTCGGTATGCAAGTGTTCATGCGCATTTGGGAAGAACTGCCGGCAGAAGAGATGATCTTGAGTCTCTTGCATATACTCTCATATTCCTGCATCGAGGTCGATTACCATGGCAAGGCTATCAGGTATGGCTGATATAATCATCACAGTGAGTGCCTATTAAAAACATTTTAGCACTCATCATCTATAATCTATATTGTTTTCTCATTCTTTCTTTTACATTCTAAATCAAGGGTGACAATAAATCGTTCTTAGTCTGCAAAAAGAAAATGGCTACATCTCCTGAAATGCTGTGCTGCTTCTGTCCGCCACCACTAAAACAATTTCTTGAAACTGTGGTGAATATGAAATTTGACGCGGAGCCGAACTACTCCAAATTAATATCCTTATTTGAGGGTTTAATAGGACCAAATCCAGCTATAAGGCCAATAAACACCGATGGTCCTCAAAAGGTATTTACTTGTACTACACTATTGGTATTTGTTGTCACACTCATTGCTTGCGATACTTATTTTATTTATTTTAAAATAATATTTGTATGGAATAATGATATTTAAACTCCTATTGTCAATGCATAAAACTAGGTTGCATGCAAAATGTATATAAAAAAAATTAACAATGGTAATTTAATATAGAGGCCAATTTAAATGTATTCAATGTAAATCCATATTCATATTAGGGGGTCAGAAGATCTTGGGGAGGGCCAATGTTTCCCCTGGCTCCCACTGCATTGAAGACTTTCCTTCAGAAAATCTGTAACAGATTAATAATAATCATGAATATTTGGTAGATTATTTATCAAGTAGGCCAAAAGCAAGGTAGGTTGAATATTGACGAAGAAGATGATCAACCCACGAAGAAGGTTCGTGTTGGTGTTCCTACTACACAGTGGATTTCAGTCTACAATGCAAGACCTCCAATGAAGCAGAGGTATTCTGGAATAGTTTTCAATTTCATTGCCCCTGTTTTCACCTTCCATGTTTGACATTGAAATTTTGCTGTTTGCTACCATGCAATTAGGTATCATTACAATGTCACTGATGCAAGGTTGGCTCAACATGTGGAGAAAGGAATAGCAGATGGTTTGCTAATAAGCTGTGTGGCATCTTGCTCCAATCTTTGGGCATTAATTATGGATGCCGGGACTGGTTTTACTAGCCAAGGTTATGAGCTTTCGCCTTCCTTCTTACATAAGGTTACCTCCCATTGCATATTGTTTTGATTGCTATTTTTTTCTTCTTTTCGTATTATAAGAAAAATATTTATGTTGAGGACTGGCTTTCTCTTCCAAATATACAGGAATGGATCATGGATCAGTGGGAGAAAAATTATTACATCAGTTCTATTGCTGGTTCAAACAGTGGAATCTCCCTTGTTGTCATGTCCAAAGGTCAGTTCATCTTTCACAATTATCTTTCAATTTATTATAACGTAGTGATCATTTTGCAACTTTTGAAAGTTCAGTGACCAATGGCCATTTGAGCATAATTGAGTAACCCTTTGGTGTACTTTACTCACTTTTTTAATTTACATTAATGGCTCAAGATTTGTCAATCATGTTTATCTCTTTAGGTACCCAATACACTCAACAATCATATAAAGTGAGTGAATCTTTCCCTTTCAAGTGGATACACAAAAAGTGGAAAGAGGGTTTTTCTGTCACCTCGATGACAACAGCCGGGAGCCGATGGGGTGTCGTAATGTCTCGCAATGCAGGCTTCAGTGATCAGGTTTAATCTCAGATGCACTAGTCCGAGTTCATTCGGTTCTTTCTAATCCTCACCTGCTATCTTATTAACCACCGTCGACCGGTTTTGTAGGTTGTGGAACTTGATTTCCTCTATCCAAATGAAGGAATCCGCAGATGTTGGGATAGTGGCTTCAGGATCACATCGGCAGCTGCAACTTCGGATCAAGCCGCTCTAATTTTGAGCATCCCGAAGCGGAAACCCGGCGACGAAACTCAAGAAACTTCACGCACATCTCAATTTCCCAGCACACATGTTATGGTAATGCTCTCTTTTGCTTCCTGCAACGTATGCTTCATTTGGATTTCTTATTACGTGAATGCAGGGATGAAGCTACCTTATGAGTAGGAGGGCGTAGGGCCTGTGACCCCCAAATTATTATTTATAAAGTACACAAATGATCCCTCGATTATAGTATACTATTTTATTAAGTCTTTGACTATTAAAAATTATAAAATGATCATTTGACTATAGAATGTTGCTTTGTTAAGTTACTTGATTATTAAAAGTTACAAAATGATTATTCGATTATTCATTATATTCTGAATAGTCATTTTTTGTTAAAAAATCAATGGTTTTCTAATTTGGATGTTAATATAATGACTGAGATATGATAGTCGTTTGAGATTTTGAGATCGAATTTTGTCTTATTATAGTCAACAAGTTAATGTTCAGTTTAGAATACTATTAATTTTTTTTAAAAGAATGACTTTGGAACGTAATGAAGGGTCGGGTGACCAACCCGACCATTTGTATTTACCCTAGAGAAAAATTGTTTCGTCTCTCCCAAATTTTTTTTTGGGTATAAATACTTTTAAGGTCTATAGTAGTTTTTGGAACTAGAAAAATCAAGTCTTGATCCGCATTATTTCGGTTTGAATACTTAGGTTCATATTTATTTTTGAAATGAGGCATTTTTATTCCGGTTCTTATTTCTTTTTGGTTTAAATACTAGTTAGATACTCATCAATTTCAAAATTAGACAAAATAGATCATATGAGTATATGAACCTCTAATTTTATATTGATGGCTTAATAATTAAACATTTCCCCCATTTTATTACCATTTATATTTGCCCCAAAAGTTTTATCTCGACTCTGTCCCTATGGGTATGTACATATATATATATATATATGCATGTATTTTGTTCTCATGTGAATTTTGTTATTGTGTAGGAAAAATGGGCAAAAAATCTCTATCTTGCTTGTCTATGCTATGGAAGGACTGTATCATGAAACCTATGTGTATGTACCTATTGTCTCTTATTAGTTTTCTTTTGAAATTTCCTTTTAATTGCAATTTAGTCCCTCTAATTTAGTTTCTGTATTTTGGAATACAAGTGTTAACACTCTTCACTAGTTGCTGTTAAATATGATTATTTGTAACATATATATATATATATATATATATATATAATATTTTGGTACAACTGAAGCTTACTTTATAGGCGAACAATTGAATTTGCAAACAACTTGTCAATTTGAATCAACTCTGGTTAACTTTTAGTTGGGCTTGAATCAAATTTTGTAAAAGGTTATGATTTAAATTTAGGGTGAAAAATCTTTTAATGCATTCGGAATAATGATATTTTTTTGGCTTAATATGAAAGTAAGTGTTCAAATTATACATTTTTTCCATTTAAGTGCTAAAATTATTTTTCGGTTAATTCATGTACTTAATTTTCTAATGTTATACTTTTAGGCATATACTTTTAGGTGCCTAAACCATTATTGTAGTTAAATTCTCTATATACTTATGTCGTTTTTATAAAATTTTAAAAATTTCCTATTTTTAAAATTAAATTTTTTACAATGACCTAAATGTGATACATGTCACTTAACCATAGAATTTAATGTTTGTTATGATGAGACACCCAAAAGTATGCCATTAAAATCTTTTGACAATCTTTACTTGGATTAACAAAAAAAAAAAAACATTTAAGCATCTAAATCAGAAAAACGATATATTGTGGACACTTGTATTCAAAGTCAATTTTTTTTATATATTTAGAGATAATTAATATATTTTTTCTATTATTTTCTCAATTAGGTCTCTATACTACCAAATAAAAATAAAATTATATATATATATTTGTATCAAGTTGAATATGGATTTTTATCCTAAATTTTGGGTCGAGTTCTAGTTGTAATGAGATTTTCTTAAACTCGAGTTAGATTCAAGTAGAGAAAATATGTTTCTCACGTTGAGTCGAATTAATTAAAAATCTAACCTAATCCGATTCATTATCATCCCTAATAATACCATGAGATTAGCTTGAAGAATCTAACCACAATTAAAGCAATTTATAGCTTTCTACCCTTTCCAACAATCATTGATTCAAACGGTGGATCACGTGAGAATTATGAGTCGATTAACATAGTTCAGTTTCAAATCCATTAGATGGTTGATGACGGAGATCAAAAGATGAAAAAAAATTGAGGAATTCATCTTCGATTTGAGAAGATTGAAGCATTTTCAGGTGAAACGGAGGTCCGAATCACGTTCAGGGGGTTAAAAAGGTACCGGTTGGAAAGTTTGGGCTTCATTGACAACGAATACGATATCTGGTGATTGTAGACGTGGAGGCCGACGAGCTTGTCCATTTAGCTTTTAACGACGGTACTAAAATGAAATAAAAACTAAGCGTTACGTATGATTTTAAAACCATTGAAAGTTTAAGTACTAGAATGAACCAAAATTGATAATATAGATATTAAATACGTAGTTTACCCTTACATTGTAATTCGTATCTTGTACATAAATTGCACATAATTAATATGCGCATATTTATATTACTACTAGTTGATACTGTTAAATTTATGAAGTAACTTTTTTTGATTTAATTATAAATATCTGAATAATTTACAAATTTATTATTAAATAAACATAATCAGATAATTTCATAAGAACGTAACAGCCATGGATGGATGGAAGGGATGGATAATTTAGGTATAAACGAGTTAAGTTTTTAACGACAGAGTACTAAAATGAAATGAAAAATAAACGTTCAATGTGATTTTAAAAAATCGAAAGTTTAAATACTAAGACAAACTAAAACTGATAGTTTAAATATTAAATGTATAGTTTACCGAAATAAATATGGATGCACCATCGAGACAAAATAAATACTATCAAATATGTCACCGTACTATATTATACCGTTCGTCATACTCCATAATTTAGAGCAAAATATGTATAAATCCACATACATACATATGCGTACAAATCTATGGATTTATCGCTCATAACATCTTACAAAACTATATATACGTCTCCTAATCCATACGATCACATCATTTAACACCAAAAGGAAAGCAACGCTCGTGAAAATAAGCCTGGTAAGACACCATATAAACCAGCAACACCAGCACAAGCGCCACCCCGAACGGCGACCAATCGGCGTCGGGAACGTACGCCGACTGCCGACAGATCATAAAAAGCAACCCTTTCTGCAGAAAAGCAGTGAACCAGCAGCAGCAGCGCCACCGGCGTCAACATGAGGAAGAACTTGAACTGGATCGCGAGATCATCGAGCCTGGACTCGTTGTTTATGAACCACGACAAACCCAGTACGAAGAAGAGGACGAGGATGAAGAGAGATAGGTGGAGAGGTGGAGGGGAGAGGTAGTCTGTGAGTGAATCTGTGTATCTGTAGTTTCTCGCCATGGCTATGACTTCACGACTTTAACTGATTAATTCGGATTGATTCTGTCGTTCTTTCAACGAAGATTTTTTTAACGTATAAGACTTCAAACTCCAAATATAGTTAAATGATATCGAGATTTAGCTATGGGGTTTTGATTACTGGTTTGGTATCTGGGATTTTATAGGGGAAAGTGGGAGGGGATCACTGTTACATGGTAAAAGAAAAATACTCTAGAATCAACTTACCCGGGGGGGGGGGGGGTGTTGGAAGAGAGAGTGTGGAGTGGTGAGTTGATTTTACACATGGAGTGAGTTCGTGGATGAAATTTATTCCTTTCTTTTCTCTACTTTTAGATTTTGAAATCATTTAATATATAGAGAGGGAGAGTAAAGATTCATTTATATATACCGTAAAATTTTATTTTTATACTTTTAGGATAGTTGAATGATGAAAAATTAAAAAATGAGATTAATATCTTATTTTTTTTCATGATGAATATCTTTTCATTTTTGTTGTTAATATTAGTCTTTGATTTGCCTTCATGTAACGATCCTTAAAGGGTGTAAAACTAAAATGTTCAACATTATGTAATTAAATCCTAACCTTATATATATATAGATGACCAAAATTCGATTTGAAAAACTTGATTCAAATTGAATCGACTCATAATTTTAAAAACTCGAGTAAAACAATTTCAAATTTGAGCAGAATTATAATAGAACTTCAACTCAAAAAAACTTGATTCAAATTGAATCAACTTGTAATTTTAAAAACTCAACTCAAAAAAATTTTAAACAACTCATACTCATATACCTACATTATTTCAATATAAGAATAAAATCCATGCGTTTTTGGGCCAACAATTGTATAAGTCTTCTATTTTTAAATTAGATTTTTTTTTAGATAAATTAGATATAAAATAATTGTTTGAGAATCTATATTTGATGTTTTGGTAATAATTTAAGGGTAAAACTAGATATTAATCTTTTTTGTTAAAGTTGTCACATCATCATTTTAACGGGATAACGGTGGACTGATCATTTTGTTATAAATCGATAATATTAGTGATAAATTTATTACTTTTAAAATTTTAGTAGAGAAAATAAAAACTTACTTAAATATTAATGATCATTTTGTGTAATTTACTTTTTTTTATCTTAAGGTCAATTATTAAACCCTTTCTTTTCTTTTGGTTTTCCACGATTCTAAACTAAGCTCATGGTTTTTCCTGTGACATGTGTCCCTCCTACTTTTAAGGTCATTACCATAAATGGTTAAACTCAGCTTTGGCCCCTTTATTATACTCGAACTCAAAATCCAATCATCTATTTTTAATTTTTATATAATTATCTAAAGTGCCATAAGAAATGTTGAATTGTTCATTCTTCTATTTTTGTGATTTCCTTTAAAATTATTTTTTATTCCGCATAAGCACATTCACCTACAAGCAATTGATTTTAAGTTCCTATTCAACGATAGTAATTATAATCTTTGATGATGAGTTAAGACCATTTGATGAAGGGATTAGTTGAAAAGCTAAAAGGTACAATTGAATGGATGCAACTTTCAACCAAATGATATGACTTATTATTAGTAAGTCTTTTCACTAAGTGACACCATTTATCATTAAGAGCATCAATTTGATTCAATTAATTCATAATTTTCCAACAATCCCCCACATAAATGAAATTGATGATTTCGAACTGACTCGATATGGTGATAGATTCTACGTCCGATATTTGTATAGGATAGGTAGGCATCCCCCTTTGAACCTTCCCTTATGAAAATATGTTTACCTTACTAGCTATCCAATAGATGTGATGTCCTTGAACTATCATGTCGTTTGTGTAAGCAATGAAATACCTCACAAAAATATCTCCCTGAAAAGAATCTGGTTCTCATGGTTATGTCCATATATCCATGGGCATCTTCGGGTTCTGCAAGAGCTTAGAGAACTATGCCCCAATAGTCTCCTTGAAGCGACTCCACTTCACTCTTACATAGGTGACTTATGTTGTTCTGCTCACCGGAACACATAGTGGTTATTAAAAGCATTGCTTAACATTTTCCACATTTTAGTTATTATTTTCATCATATGAATGGACTTAGGATAAGAACGCCCACAATGACCACACAAGGACTATGCAAATAGGTTGTCCTATTGAACTTAGATCTTGGGATCTCCAGTAAACTAAGTTTGGTTTTCATTCACATAGAACCTTAAATGTTCATAGGCTTTAGTCTCATTCCTTTTAATGTTTTATCAACTTGATCTCAATTTAACCCTTTGGTTAGCAAATCTGCAATGTTATCTTTTGATCTTACAAAATCAATGAATATAACTCTTAATTTGAGATCAGTTGTCTAATGGTATTGTGTCAATGACACATAACTATTATACATTACATTATGTGCTCTACCCGTTGTTGCTTGTTTATCACAATATATGTTTATTTTGGCACAAACTTTAGCCATTCATGAATATGCTTCAAAATTATGTGTAGCAATTACCTTTCCAATACACCCCTACACTTTCGAGTAATTGTAGGAAAGTTTTATGGAGTCTTGTCATCTTTCCTGTGGGGCGCCGTATTTAAAAGGA